CCTTGTATATTCTGGATATTACTCCTTTGTCAGATGTATATTTTGCAAATATTTTCTCCCATTCTGTTGGTTGTTTTTTCACTCTGTTAATTGCTTCTTATACCGTGCAGAAGCTTTTTAGTTTCATATAATCCCATTTGTTTATTTTGCCTTTAGTTGCCTGTGCTTTTTGGGTCCTATTCATGAATTCTGTACCCACTCTTATTTCCCGGATTGTTTCCCCAGGAAGTAGGAGTGTTTCCCCTATATTTTCTTTAAGGAGTTTTATTGTTTCAGGATGTATATTTAATTCTTTAATCCATTTTGAGTTGACTTTGTATATGGTGAAAGATACGGGTCTAGTTTCATTCTCCTGCATATGATTATCCAGTTTTCCCAGCACCATTTGTTGAAGAGGCAGTCTCTTCCCCTGTATGTAAATTTGCTGCCTTTGTGAAAGATCTGTTGGCTGCAGGCATATGGGTTAATTTCTGGGTCCTCTATTATGTTCCATTGATCCGTGTGTCTGTTTTTATGCCAGTATCATGCTGTTTTGCTTATTATACATTTGTAATATAGTTTAAAGTCAGGTAGTGTTATACCACCAGCTTTATTATTTTTTTTTTGCTCAGGGTTGCTTTGGTTATGTGTGGTCTTTTTTTAGTTCCATATAAATGTCTGGATAGCTTTTTCCATCTCAGAGAAAAATGTCATTGGAATTTTGATGGGGATCGTATTGAATTTGTAGATCACTTTGGGAATATGGACATTTTCACAATGTTAATTCTTCCAATCCAAGAGCATGGGATATCTTTCCATCTTCTTGTGTCCTCTTTAATTTCTCTCAACAGTGGTTTGTAGTTCTCTTTGTAGAGATTTTTCACATCTTTGGACAGCTTTATTCCTAAGTATTTTATTTTTTTGGTGGCTATTGTAAATGGGCCAGCTTTCTTGATTTCTTTTTCTGCATGTTCACTGTTGGAGTATAGAAATGCTACTGATTTTTGTGTGTTGATTTTGTACCCTGCAACTTGGCTGAAATTGTTTATCAACTCTAGGAGCTTTTTATAGAAGCTTTAGGCTGTTCAATGTATAGGATCATGTCATCTGTAAACAGGGACAGTTTGACTTCATCCTTTCCAGTCTGGATGCCCTTTATTCCCTTCTCTTCTCTCATTGCTCTGGCTAGTACTTCCAACACGATGTTGAATAGGAGTGGTGAGAGTGGTCATCCTTGTCTAGTTCCTTCAGGAATGTCTAGTTCGTTTAGGATGATACTGGCAGTGGGCTTATCATATATGGCTTTAATTATGTTGAGATACTCTCCATCTATGCCCAACTTGTAGAGAGTCTTTATTATGAAAGGTTGTTGAATTTTGTCAAATGCTTTTTCAGCATCAATGGAGATGATCATGTGGTTTTTGTGTTTGCTTTTATTGATTTGTGTATGTTGAACCAACCTTGCATCCCCAGGATAAATCCCACTTTATCATCGTGTATAATTTTGTGTATGTGTTGCTGTATTCTGTTAGCTAATATTTTATTGAGGATTTTTGCATCTATATTCATCAAGGATATTGGCCTGTAGTTTTCTATTTTTGATGCATCCTTGTCTGGTTTTGGAGTCAGGGTGATATTTGCCTCATAGGATGAGTTTGGGAGAATGGCCTCTGTTTCAATCTTTTAGAACAATTTGTAGAGAATTTGTATCAGTTCCTTTTTGAAGACTTGGTAGAACTCTGCAGTGAGCCTGTCTGGTCCTGGGCTTTTCCTTGTTGGGAGCCTTCTGATAACAGCTTCAATCTCTTTTTTTGTTATTGGTCTGTTCAGATTCTCTCTATCTTCTTGGCTCAGTTTTGGTAATTTGTATGCATCCAGAAATTTATCCACTTCATCCAGACTTTCAAATTTGTTGGCATATAGATGTTTATAGTTGTCTCTAATGATTCCTTTTATTTCTGAGGTGTTAGTTATATCACCTTTTTTGTTTCTAATTTTTTTTTGTCATTTAGTTCTTCTCTCTTCTTTTTTTTTGTCTTTTTTCATGTCCGGCAACGGATCGCAACCCTCAGTGTCGCGCCCGTACCGGACCGGGACCGGCAACGGGATCGCAACCCTCCGTGTTGCCCCCGCCCCTCGCTCAGCCAGTGAGCAGGAACCGGTCTGTATGTGGGATCCGAACCCTCGGCGGGAGCGCCACCACGCTCCCAAGTGGCGCACTGTAGCAGTGCGCCACAGGGCCGGCCCAGTTCTTCTCTCTTCTTTTCTTAGTCTTGCTAAAGGTTTGTTGGTTTTATCAATCTTTTCAAGGAACCAACTTTTTGTTTGTTTTTTCTGTTTCTATTTCTTTTAGTTCTGCTCTGATCTTGATTATTTCTTTCCATCTACTAAGTTTAGGTTTGGATTGTTCTTGTTTTTCTAGATCTTTAAGGTGAAGTGTTGGGTTATTTATTTGCCATCTTTCCATTTTTCTGAAGTAAGCATTTAATGAAATAAATTTCCCCCTTAAAACTGCTTTTGCAGTATCCCACAGGTTTTGGTATGATGTGTCATTATTTTCATTTTTTGGTTTCCTGTTTAATTTCTTCTTGGACCCACATGTCATTAAATAAAATGTTGTTTAACTACCATGAGTTTGTATAGTTTTCAGAGTTTCATTTATTATTGACTTCTAATTTTAATCCATTGTGATCAGAAAAAATACATGGAATAATTCCATTTTTTTTGAATTTGTTAAGACTTGCTTTGTGACTTAACATGTGGTCTATCCTGGAGAATGTTCTAGGTGCTGATGAGAAGAATGAATATTCTGAGGTTGCTGGGTGGGATGTTCTGTAGATATCTGCCAAATCCAATTGCTTTAAAGTATTTAGATCTTGTACTTTTCTGTTGATTTGTTGCCTAGATGATCTGTCCAATGATGAGAGTGGGGTGTTCAGGTCCACCACTATTATGGTGTTGGTGTCTATTTCTTTTTTTAGATCTAATAGTGTTTGCTTTGTGAAACAAAGCTGTTATGACATTAGGTGTGTATATATTTATGATTATTATGTCTTCTTGATGGATAGATCCTTTTATCATTACATATTGGCCATCTTTATCTCTTTTAATGGTTTTTGCTCTAAAGTCTATTTTATCTGATATACGAATAGCTACTCCAGTTCATTTTTCATTTCTACTTGCATGATATATCTTTTTCTATCCTTTCACTCTTAGTCTATGTGTGTCTTTACAGGTCAAGTGAGTCTCTTGGAGGCAGCATATTGTTGGGTCCATGTTTTTAATACAGTCAGTCAGTCTGTGTTTTTTGAATGGGGAATTTAGTCCCTTTATGTTTAGACTTATTATTGAAAGCTGTTGATTTATTCCTAGCATCATACTGATTTGTTTTTAGATGTCTTAAGTATTTTTGTTCCTTTCTTTCAAATTTTCTGCTTGTCTTCTGTATTTGTTTGTTTCTTGGGGTGATAATCTATTTTTTCTCTCTTTTGTTAGCATTTTTGTTTTGCTGGTAGGTATTGTTCTTTCTTGTGTATTCATGGTAGTGATGGTTGTTTTTGTGGTAGTGATGGTTGTTTTGTGTATTGTGAAATTCTCAATACTTCCTTGAGAATTTCTTGTAGGGCTGGTCATGTGGTAGTGAACTCCAGCAGTTTTTGTTTGTCTGAGAACTATACTATTTGTCCTTCACTTTGGAAGGATGGCCTTGCTGGGTAAAGTATTTTTGGCTGGCAATTTTTGTCCTTTTGTGTTTTGAATATATCATCCCATTCTTCTCTGGCTTTTAGAGTTTCTGATGAAAAGTCTGATGTTATTCTGATTGGGTCTCCCTTATAAGTGACTTGCCACTTCTCTCTTGCAGCTTTTAAAATTCTCTCTTTGTCTTTGATTTTTGTCAGTTTGATTATCACATGTATTGGAGAGGACATATTGGGCTGAATGTGTTTGGTGATCTTTGGCTTTCTGAATCCTGGGATTTCTGACTTTCCCTATACCTGGGAAATTTTCTGCTATTATCTCATTGAGTATGTTTTCAATGCCATTTCCTTTTTCCTCCCCTTCTGGAATACCCATCATTCAGATATTTGAGTGCTTAAGGTTGTCAGTTGTCTCTCTTAAATTTTCTTCAATTTTTTTGATTCTCTTTTCTTTTTTCTGGTCTGCCTGTGGTAATTCAAACAGCCTGTCTTCATGGTCAGAAATTCTCTATTCTTCTTGTTCAAGTCTGCTGGTTAAACTCTCCATTGTATTTTTTATTTCATTGAATGAATCCTTCAGCTCCACAAGCTTAGCTACATTCTTTTT